CCAAAATTGAGTTTAGCAACAGAAGTATGGCAAATTTAATTTCCTAGATTTGATCTCCTGGACGCATCTTTATACAAATCGATCTTCAAGATGAAAAGAAGTAAGTATCAGTTTTCATCATGACGACCGATTTGTATAAAGATGCGTCCAGGAGATCAAATCTAGGAAATTAAATTTGCCATACTTCTGTTGCTAAACTCAATTTTGGAAAAACTCTTCATTCACGGTGATAAGTCAGAAATACTACTTATTTGGCTTATTTCTCATTCTGTACCCCGTGCATCTTTCTTCCCGGATGAACAGTTGTTGGTTGAACAACAGATGCTTCCTTCATATTCTGTCAAACGTATTCACAAGAACTTGTGCAATATTTTTGGTTATGATCGGTTTAGATTAACCGAAACCGGTGCACGCCTATATGAAGTTCTTTTTCTACTGGTCTGCTGTAAATACTCCATAACAAACATTCTAAACAGGTCGTTTATCATTGAAGAAAAACGTCTGTAAGCACCAGGTATACAATGCTTTGTGTATTTTTTTTCTTTTTCAGAAGCATAATAATATTCTAGAGAAACTTACGCAAATATTGTTATCTACAATATATTTGAAAACATCAACTTTATCAATTGATGTCATTTGTTGATAAATAGAACCTAATTCAACTGAAGTTAATTCACGATTCCAAATAGCTATATCAGCAAGACTACCAGTAAAATCTCGACTAAGAATTCGTACAGAATCAAATACTTCTTCTGTTATTAATATTGATGATACTTTTCTTTCACACATTTTACCACCATCTAAATAAATTTTTATTATTGAAGTTGCTGATGAAAAAACGACTCCAACGTGATACCATTGTTTACTTATCAATTGTTCACATATTGTTCTTGTGTCCATTGTACCAGTAGAATAAAATTGTAATTCCAATTGATTATTAACACGAAAACGTACATTTAAAGAATTTCGTAAACTTTGAAAATAAACCTGCATTGGCCATTGATTAGATTCCGCTGTTGATGTTGTGGAATACGACAAACACATCCAAAACGAGAGTGAAAAATTATTTGTACCACCGGCCTCTCTATTAAATTTACAACGTTTTTCAACAGTTGAACGTAGATTAACGAATGTTAAACATGAACTGTGGTTAAAAAAGTCATCTTCAAGTCGTAAATGGCGACCACAATATATGGTTGTCTTTTGTTGTTGTTGTTGTTGATCAACATCACTACCGCTATCATCACTGTTACTACGGACAACAACTGAGTTATAAAGTAGATCATCGGTAGGAGTTTGCTTAGAAAATCGACACCAAACAAGAAGATCTTCTTGAATATTATTATATGAAGAATATTTTTGTAAAAATTGTTTCCTCCAGATTAAATGATAAAATTCACGGCACACAGTTGATGTTTGAAATAAATCTTTAAATGCTGAAATTAACAGAAAGATTTTTTCCCAAATTTCTGATGGTAGCTGATAAATGTCATTGTTGTTGTTGTTATTGTTAAAATCTGTCGAAGTTGCTGTAGTATTAGACATCTTAGAACTAATATCTAAAATTTAGAAAACAAAAATACAAAAAAAATAATTTAGAAAGTTAACAGTATTTAGATCTCATTTTTCCAAATACAAAAACTCTCTGGAAAACTGGAAAATTTAATATCGTTCAAATAAGACAGATACCGACAGACTAAGAGTGACTGCTAACCTTTTGTTTACCGTTGCTCGACCATGATAGCTAAGGACTTCTAACTTGTATGATCATTGTGCTCACCGAATGCTGATCACCCACAAAGTTTAGGCTCCTTTTCCTAGCTGATTTGTGAGATGTAAGCGTTTAATTTCTTCTCTCGTAAATGCTACGTACCCAAGAGAGGTGAAAGCTTTTTCTTTTTACCAAAATGTAGCCCAGACTCTCTTCTATCTATGGTATACATTTGAAATGTTAGCTCTTAATAGTTACTGAAATACAGCTATTTTACGACTGAAAGTCACTTTTGAAGTTTGAGTCCTTCTTTCACAAAACTTCATAACTCAGTCTAGAAATATTATCTCCACTTCAAAAATGCACCAGATACTCTAAAATGTTTTTAGGTTATTCACGCCAAGTATGAGGGCTAACTATTGTATGGTTCGAGAAACTCATTGAAAATGAGCATCCACCACTGAAACATACGTAAGAAGGAAAGAATTGGCAACAAGGGCCGTCCATTTTACCATAACTGCTGTGGTTAATATCCGTCATAATCATGTTAAAATATAGTAATGAAACCTTTGGGGGAAAGCTATCCATAGGTAAAATACTGTCAAGAAGACTTCACACTCAGCCTGACCCTAAATAATTTCATTTATTTTGCGTCTTTCTCACTTTCCATGCACTTGCGAGCAAAACTAAAAACCTATTAGAGGTCAGTGGATAAAACTGCATCGTCGCATCTTGATATCTTTTTGCGTTCGAGAGTTATTCGAAAATCAGGAAACTTTAAAAAAGCGTCCTAAATTCGGGACGCTGGTAAGTAAAGGGTTAACCATTATCATTGAAGTTTGATCTTGCTCATCTTGTTCAATGGCAAGTTTTTCCACAACGTCTTCCAAACATTTTTCCAATGCACAACTAGCCTCAAAAGAAAAAATCCAGAGAACATACAAATAAGTTACGTAAAATATCTCTACTTTTTGACTAAAACACGCATTTCGAAGGAAGATCGATTTTTACTGTTATTCAGTTATTTAATGATTCTTTCGATTACTTTTCTATCTACATTTTTGTGATAACTTCAGTTATAGTCGCAAGAACAATAAAAAAGGAATTTTCAAACACCATTCGGATTCAACCATTATTGAAAATCCTGGAATAACATTCACTCAAGGAGCAAAATAGATTGAGTCGTGCGCTCAACAAGATAAATTCTGTTAACTGACTGAAGTCAAAGGGAAGCATAGAGTTGCTAAAAACATCTGAACCTAGACATTATACATCTTGTTTTACTCAGTTTTTTCTTCGAGAATATGGTGCATTTAACTCGGTATACAGCAATTTTGATGATCTAGTCCCTCCTTTAAATTGTTCCGGTGTATTTCTGTTGTGATGTTGAACTAGCTCCTTCCCTCTATATCTAAAAGGTTAATAATGAGCTGCGATGGCTTTAGTACAAGAAACTTTCAACTCACATGAAGTTTTTTGTTCCTTATGTTCAAGGTGTCGTCTCAAAATAAAGATAAGAGAGGTCCATGTCTTATGGCTCTAAGATGGGTCTTACCAATAAGGTACTCAAAGCGCATAAATATATCGAATAACGTACACTTCAAAATGGCAATGTCTTTAGTTAAAAGAGCTATTATAACATAAATCTGGCGTCTCATCTACATCAAAGACAGCCGGACCGTCTCACGATTTCATCTGCTGGAAATTCCAGCAATATCAATAAACTTCGGGTGTGAAAGCTACTTTTTCTGAATGATAACCTGATTGAGATGCATCTCAAAGCTACAGAAATACGAAGAAATTAATTTAGGGCTTTTCTTGTAAATTGTATAACTTTGCACAGAAAGGTCGTGTAGAGCTGGGGAATGCCTCATTTTAATCATAAATGTACGGGCTGCAATTATGCCTCATTAAGAAAAGATTTTGCTTCTTTTTTAAAGTTTCCGAAAAACTGGTTTTCCAGAAAACCGGGTCTTCAAGAGTAAAGAGCCCGAATCCTTTTAGGCTTTTTACTAGCTCACTATCCTCTGTCGATCGACGTACGAACGAATGAAATCGGAGCGTATCACTTGGGAATGTTCCCTCGTTAGTTATAGATACGTTTGTATGACTATAATAGATATGCTGCTAAATTTTTAATTTTGTTTTTCAGATTTCTTTCTTTGTCGCACTGCAATATCTACTGCATCTGTCATAGCAACCACAGCAACAGCTTCAAATTCCTACTGTTGTTCTCCGCCGTTACCATCGGAACTATGGCAAAGAATCTTTCTATCAGTTATAACATTCAAAAATTTATCACAAAAATTTAACTGTTTCCATCGAATTTCGTTGTTTGATTTGGAATAAATGGTTTCTACGAAAATATTTTTCATTTAAAAATGACTTCATAAACATCTTTTAGTCTAGCATCAATTTTCAAAGATAGGAAGTATTTTTATACTTTACTTGAAGATGGTATTTATCAACAAAAAGACGCAGTATCGTCATTTTCTAGTCATCCAGCTCTTCCGCAAATTATAGCGAATGGATAATCAGAATCCGCGTTTAAAATTTGTTTGTGGTTTTTCAGGCATCGAAAAATGTTAAAACGTGAATGCTGATGATTTTTCAATATCATTTTGGTTTTTATTTACATGAAAGAACAGTTTTTATGTGTCTGATTTTCGCAAGATCTTATGAGTACGTGTAATTTTAGAAAAGTGAATAGTGGTGGTCACTTACATAATTCAATTGACGGTAGTGATGGTGCTATTAAACGAGAAAAAGCTAGAATTGGTAATTCATCAAGAGGGAAAAAGCGAATCCACGGTACATGCAAATCCGCGCGCATACAGTCGGATCCACGTGGATGCACTTAGGTATGCAACGATGACGATTACCGTAACTTAATGACTTCCGTTACCATTTTGTTGGTCTGACCGGTTTTACCAGACAAACGGTTAGCACTTTACCGATACTTATCGGTAATTTACCGATAGCAGATAGTTCGTAAACAATCATCGGTTGACATTTTCTGTATGATGGAAGCATTTCTGCAATTCTAGCTTCGAACATGAGTTATAGTAAATTTAATTTCTTAAAAAAATATATGCCACAGCCTTGTAATTCATTTTATCCTCGACGGATTGAAATAAATTAATTTTTTAACCATAGTCCATGACAGTAATAATGGGAATAATCAGTTACTAAGAATGTGAGTAAAGTGTTTGATGTATTTTGTCTAATGCTAATGTGAAAATATAGCGTACAAAGAAGCTTATTTAAATAGATCTCTAGGTCTAAATATGACACTAACTCGTACCATTGCTACATCAGTCGATGTAACTGCTGACTATCCAAAAAATAAAGAAAAGTATTGTTAGATTAGACACTATTATTGGTACACTAAAGATATAATTTTAATGTGTTTTTTATTTTAAAAGAATTCATTAGCAGCAACAACAATCACCACCACCACAACAGCAGCAAAAGAAAAAGAAGTTTAAACCAATTAGATCAAAACTGACATTTATGAATAGAAGTTGAACTTTTAGAAACTACAAAACAACGATTATTCTTTTCTTATTTCTATTATCAAAATCCGATAAATATACCGAGTGCGTTTCTATTAAAATTATTACCTGTTAGCAAATTTAATATGTTTATTTATCCAGATACGAGTCTTGTGCTGAAAATTTTACATTGTTTGGATAGCACCGAGCTGAAGAAAAACCGTACTTTCTCGAATATATCTAAACATTTTTATTTATGTTTTTACACCAATTTGTAGCCGACGTTTTAAAGTTTCGAAACATATAAACGAAATGATTAAATAGTAACAGCAGCTGCTTTTTGATTCCTATTTATCTAATAAAAACTTAAAATTGAAATAATTTTGTAAAAATAAAGTCATCATTTCAAAAATTTTCATCTTCATTTTCAAGACTATAGCGACATTTAACGTGATGTAAAGTTAGAACGAACTCTCTGTTCATTTCTTCAGTCACCGTCTTAACTCTACATCACGTTAAACGTCTCTATTGTCTTGAAAATGAAGATGAAAATTTTCGAAATGACGACTTTATTTTTATAAAATTATTTTAATTTTTTTAATTTTAATTTTTTATTACATAAATAGAAATCGAAGAGCAGCTGCTTTTATTATTTTATCAATTCGCAAGTTTCTAGCCCTAAATAGATATAATGTTTCAAAATATAAATGAAATCTAGTTTTATTTATATCCATTTAAAAAGTTTAAAGCTGTGCTAATTTTCTTGGGACACTCTTTTGGTTTTCGTTTGCCTAATTGGTGAATACGTATTTTATGGCTAACTTGATACAAGTTAAATAAAATTGCTAATCTAACAGAATGTTTGCACGAATATACTAATACTAGTACAACAAGCGAACAGGATTGTTGCCACACCAGAAAACAGAAAATATTCAAGGGTTTTCTGGTGTGGCAAAAATCAAATATTGTTCGTTTGATTAAAATCTCAATGAATATGTTTATGTTGTACATTGTACTTTGTTGAGAAATAAAAATGTGAAATGCATGCTGAAAAATTTGGTGATCAAAAGTATCCTTTTTTGATGATCATTTGTACTAAAGCTGTTTAGTGATCAAAAGTATCTTTTTTTGGTGATCTTTTGCATCTAAAGATGTTTGGTGATCAAAAGTACATTTACTCTTTAAAAGAGAACGTAATTTGCATATAATGGAGAACAATTCGATATTTAAACTAAAATTTGACATTAAAAGAGAATGGAATAAAAAAACAAGAAAAGAGAACGTGTTTTTCATTGAAACGAGACATGGGCAACAAAATGATGTAAAAAACTAGGGGAGGTCCGCCTCTTTCCTTAAGTGGCCGTTCTCTTTTCGGTCGTTTTCGACCAAAATTAAAAACCGTTCTCGTTTCAATGAAAAAAACGTTCTCCGTTCTTATTTTTTTATTCCGTTCTCTTTTTAGCAGACATTTTTCTTAAGTTTAATTTTATTCAGATAAAAAGTTTGAGTTCCTAAACTTTAATTTGTGGCATTCCAACAATTTTCAATGGAACTAAATCTGGATATTCGCCCGTTAGCCAGAAAAAGTACAACATATCATCACCAATTAAAATAGGACATGATGGTGTTGCTTTACCGGCATCTAAACCATTGACATTTATTTGTTTCAATACTTTTCCCGTATCCATGTGTACAGATGTAATAAAATATCGGAAGTCTCCTTTATGAAACGTGGCAGATCCACTGACAGTATACATGACACGTTGTTGTTCATTTGCAGCTGAACACCATGAAATCAAATCAAAACTATCTATTTCTTTTCCAGTGGCAATTTCTGTGGTCCACATCGTTTTTCCATCGGAATTAATAGCAAACACTAGAGGCAGACTCGCTAAATAGGTTGTACCTTTTTCATCCATCACCGGTTGACTAATGTCACTATTGCCAGAAATGGATTTTGGAGGGTACCAGTTCCAACGAAGTGTAAACGTTTTGGAAACACTCCAGGATGATACAATAAGTGGCCAATGGATATCAGTCATATTTTGCCACGGTCGGACAATTGTCTCTCTATCAATGTCTAACGCCATTTGTCTACCAGCTCCTGATTCGGTGTCCCCACTCAGCATTTTATTACCACCCGCGTCAAACTTCAATAGGTTATCATCACCACCAATCCAAAACATGTTACCTGTTCCTGAATCCACTTTGTAATGTCCGTTCATACCGGCACCAAAGTTTTCTCGATTTATCCACATAATCTCTAGCGATGTTTTATTGATAGCAGCAGGTACTGATTCAAACGTACCGTCAGCAACAGCAGTAATCAATAGGTTAAATTTTTCATTAATGGCTAACGCTGATTGTATGTTCATATAGAGCTTAGTATTTGTCACACATTCTTGATAAGGATGAGATGTGAGAGCATAGGATACACGACATATTTTAGCAGAAAAAATTCCGTCCCCAGCCCAAGAAACAGTGTAATATAATGCACCATTTTGATCACTAACAATATTCGATGCACCAACAGGTCTCATTTCCGGAACATATTCAAGATACAGTTTCCAACGAATATCACCGTTCACCGTTAAGCAAACCATGAAATCGACTAGAATACATGGAATACGTGTAAAAAATAATGCCTCACTACATCCGATAGGAAAGCATACAAAAGTTAATCTAATACATTTGTCTGAACTATTTCATATACTGATTCTACGTACTTGGATCATATCTTGTTTGACTTTGCCAGAAATAAACATCACCATTCATGCCCGCTCCAATTCCCAATACGGTGGTGTCTTGAGATGATGAATTGTATACGTATGACCATGTTTTGCCAGAATAATTTGTAGGCATTGATGGTACAATATGATACGTATTACGTGCATTACCCTGATCGGTTGACCAAGATGATTCATCATCGGCATGAATTGCCAATAGAACACAAAGTAATGTGGCAAATAATACGAAGTTTTTAATCATAATGAAGTTTAGCAAGTAAGCTAAACACAACAATCTAAAACATCTAAAGCTTTTTATTTACGAACTATGTGATACTATGTGATATAGACATCTATTTCGTTATAGTGACAAGTACATGTTTCATCTGTTAAAAGATACTGTGTTTTCGTTAAAAACAGAGATATTTCTTCCATTTTTCTGAAAATGGTAAAGAATAAAAGCATCTGCTTTTTCTTACACACTTTATCTCAACTTTATATTCATCATGGTGCACTTATATGTTGCTTTGTTAAAAAGAAAATAATACGCACATTCATTTCAAGGTTAGTTCGCTGGTGCGACCAAATATTCTTTGACAAATAAAATCCTAGATGTGACCATAAAATACGTTACCACGCGTTCTTTATCTCTGATGCACTTTTAGTGTACTTCGATAATATAAGTTGATATGTACTCTCTTGGGTGAATATGTACTAGGTTGAGTGATCCTAAACATACTGTATATGATTCAAATTATTAAAAAATGAAGGCCAATAGCACCGTTTTTCTAGAAATAGCGTTCGGTGTCGTTACGGATTTTGGTTAATTCTAGTTTAAAATGAAATTTTTATTTCAAACACTATTGCTGCTGTCTAATGACGCACTCATACTAATGGCTTTTTGGTATTAATTTCTCTGGCCTCTATAAGTTCTCTAGTGAGTAACCGCAAGTTATTCAGGGTTTATCGGTAGTTCCGTTGCTACACTTAATTCTAACTGACGTAGCATTCACAGTTTGGTCAATGATTATTTGGACGAAAAGCAATGAGTGAGCAAATGAATATTCATTGCGACAACGAATAAATTTCCAGGCGGAACAAACATTCATCAATAAAGGAACGATGGACTAAATTGTAAATTGGGAACGAGCTATTCAATAACTCTAGATACTAAATAATGAGAAATGCTGAGAAAGTAGAGCAGTAATCACGATTTTTAACGTAGTTACTTATTTAGGAACTAGAGTAGTCGTCAGCATGATAACCTTTGTCAAAATATGTATAAAGGTTGAGACACACAACTGCTTCTCACACTGTTTTTAATAATGTCCGCTGAATTTGTTGAATCTACACATGATAAAAGACAACTATGTTACCTCGGTTATCGATATTGTCTCAAACGTAAAATTCAGAAAGATTCAAAGTTTTGGGTATCCGTGAAGTGCAAAACAACAAAAGGTGAGTTATTTTTGTTATAGGATGGGTCACTTAGTGGTACTCGTTCACTCGTTTTTGCGTTCAATGTGTTGAGATGGTGTGTTTCAACGTAATGTCAAGCTTCATTTTTAAAGTATTGTTTGATCTAGCTATGGCGCTTTCGGATCAGCTTGCCAAAGGCTTTTAGAAACAGGCGCAGAAATGTGTCAGATTTGCATATATTGTTTTATTTGTTCTGTTATTATAATTAAAATTTATCATCTCTTGTGAATTTGCTATTTTGTCTCATTGTAATATCTCTTTAGGTATATTAACATTTGTTGTCTCGATTTAAACATGATGGTTTATTATCTCTTTCCAGTACGCCCAGTTTATTATCTCATAAAGAAATGAGCCAAAGAAGAAGGTATTTTCAACAATTTCGGGGGTTTATCCGACAGCAATCAAGTTAAACGCACAGTATTTCCTTATTGAGCCATAAAACCCACATCCTTGTTACGCGAATCCGACATCCACGTACTAAGTGTACGCGTGGCAGAAGAAAAAAATGAAAAAAAGCCTATTTTGGCACCTCCTTTTAGTCAAAAGAATTTCTGCTAGGTTTTTAAATTTTTTTCTAAATAATAATGCCACGTGATTTCAGCGTAGTCGGTTACCTGTACTCCATCTAATTTTCAGGCTATCAAAAGCTTCTAGATAGCTTCCAGGAAATCCGCTGGCATACGTAAATCATGCGGTCAAGCTGTCGCTTGACTCTCATTTTGAAGAGGGTACTTTGGGTTTTCCTTATAAAAAAGATTAGGATATTGTTATTTCAAATTTTGCGATTATGAATAAGTTTTTCAAAGAGCTACTAAAAAACCAGTTTCACAAAAGATTTTGAAAATTTTTCTCATGGAAAAAGGCATTCTGACGTCTTGACTAAACAACGATAAATACCGCAAATGTCTACATCTTTTCATTCTTCAGTTATTCAAAACATGGTCAATTTCATTATTTTCATGGACAGACTGTAGTTAGTTTCCCTTTTCCTGAAGTCATATAGGATTCCCTCTGTTGGAAAGTTCTTTTAAAAGATTAACTTTTTCAAAATCCTTTCTACACATATGGGCAGTTAATACTGGCCCTCAGATTCACACAAATACAGATTTCTGTACTGCGACGCAAAATCCTTTTCCGATTTTCTAAGGCGAAAATCAGCAAAAACTGCTCAAAACAGCAGGTCTACTCTTACGTAAGTCCGTGACTTTTTGCGAGATAGACAGCTCTTTCGCCGAGCAACGCACAGAGTTGGGGAACGTCTATTTTTGTAATTTAAAGATTTTTCTTTCAAATGGTAATTAAGCAATATCTACGCGTGGATTATTTTAACTAACATAATGTTTTTGATATACGCCACTTTCGTACAAAATGGCTTTATTGGCACGAATTAGGAGTAGGTCCTTAGGGCAGACCTAGGCTTTGCTTAATTCCCATTTGAAAGAAAAATCTTTAAGCTGCAGAATAAGGTGTTCCCCCACTGTGTACCTTGCTCGGGTGAAGAGCTATGACTTTCACAAAACGTAACGGACTTACGTTTTTGGCTGGTACGCATGGAATGATCGTGCATACGGAACACATGACAAATCTTTTTTTTTCTGGTCGAATCTAGATGTGATTTAGATGCTACGGTGTCATCGAGACCGAACTCGTTTCTAGTATTGTCTAGATTACTGTTTTCGTACAACGTTTTTCTGATTTTGGGTAGGCCTTTATTATGCTAATAGTTATATTGCTGAAGTAAGTATCCTAAAACTTGGTTAACAGAAAGATTATTCGGCGCCACAAAATCATTGAGATCGGTTAATCTTCGTTTTTTTTGTTTATTTCCAACTGCACTAAAAGCTCGACTGGTACGTTTCGGTGATTTCGATAGCACATGTAGCTCTGATTTATTTAATACAACTTTAAGATATCCTGTTTCTCGCCGTTGAGTGTTACACCTTCGCCATGATTCTGTATCATTTTTTTTTTGATAGTATTATGTAGATGCAAAATATCTGAAATAATTTTACCGTTTTCTTCCGATGTATTTACATCGAACCACTCTGAAATTTTTGTAACTGATACTTCGTTAGCTTCGTTCGAATCGTTAAAAATAGATGGTACAGTTGATGTAATATTTCCGTATTTTCAAGTTTACTCGGGTTTTTCGGTTAGGAGAGGATTTTGCAGAATTCACGACTAATAACAAAACCCGTTTGCACATTGCCTCAGGTTCTCGAATGCTGCGCCAACACATGGCATTAGCAACGTGATCAGTCATTTCTTCTCGAAGTTTAGTGAAAATTACCACACTTACAAAAGAAGTAGTCCTAGTTGACTTTCGTACCATCCTGTAATTCATTCATCGGGAAGCATTCACATGGGATCTTTATCAACCAGCAGTTGCTTTACGCACCATTCCGCCCATCTATTAATATCCATCGTTAATATGTTGATGTTCGCGCCTTGAAATGGTGGTGCTGCTTCACGTTTCACGGGGACGAATGCAGAATGCATGCCTTTACACGCAGATATGGTGGCGGAAACGTTGTCAGTAGCTGCGATTCCGAGAAGAAAGCCAGAGGAGGTGATCACAAAGAACCTCAGCGCTAAACAATGAAGCTGTACCTTTCCCTTCCTGGTTCCACATGTCTCCTAAAAAAAGACGATTCCTATATAGTTTAAGGTCATTGCAGACAAAAAGTTGTTTGATAGATTTTGGTAAAGATATTTTAACTGTAACTAGGCGAAAATTTTACGAAATATGTTTTTCTGCAGAACTTTGAGATCTTATACATTATTTTTCCTAGTTTTGTGCGCTTAGTCTGAATATGGTATTTTTATTGATAAAACCTTTTTAGATTGAAAAAAACTGGAAAATACCCGAAAAATAGACAAATCCCGGTTTGTCATCAAAGGTAAGTTTCTAGTATGTCACATCTGACCATATAACTGTGTCAGCATAATTATTTTCATTTTTCGACTTGGAATTGGGAGCTAATTCCAAAGCATATTGATGGAGTAACAGTCGTCGTTCTTGTTTCGTTAAATTTCCCCCTCTCGGATCATCTCGTGCCCATCGGGCCAGCGCCAGTGTTTTAAATTCACTAATGTACTGTACATCGACCAGATCCAAACCAATATACAAATCATCTGTTTCGTTTAGTGGTCGTGTCCCTCTCGGTAAACGTTGATTTATTGTTGACTGTCCATCAACAATCATATCATCAAATAAATTTCCAGTAACCATTGGGTTGATGGAGAACTGAATATTTTTTGTTTTTTGAAATAGGGCCAACGGGCCATTTGTCCAATCAAGTGGTTGCCAGATAGATTCAGAAGCAGATATATTTGCTGCCCACATTTGAGTGTTGAATGATGGCTAAATGAGTGCAGTGCAATTTTGAGAATCCAGGTACGACAAAACATCCAAATAAAATGCATCAAGACAGATGGCTATACACAAGTTGTTGGGTTTGATAACTCGATTATCTTCGAGTTTTCCTGGTGTAAACTGTAGCAACTCTATCTCTTCCGAAGTTAAATGATACTTATCACGACTGGCAACCAGACTGCCATTTGGTGCATAAACATGAGCCGTATTATAAATTTCTTTTGTCAATGGTATATATACTTCTGTTTGATTTGGACAAAGATCGGGATCACCTCAGCTATTAGGCGAAGTGAATCGGCTGTTAATGGTAAAAGCCAAAAACAGAACAAATACACGTTTAATAGCATCTTCTTCATCTTTCACACATACATGCAGCATGTTTCTTTTATTTTTTTCAAACGTTGATAACATATATCTTTTGTTGACTTTACAAAATAAACGTATTTATCCACTCTCTAAAACAATTCGTAGCTTACAAAACGAATATCGGTTTTGGTATTTGTATCTATAATAGAAGCCGATATTCGTATCGTAGAGTCTTACTTAACCGTTTCGCCGAATACGCATAAACGTTTTTCTCTCGTACAAAACCTAAATCCATTCTTCACAAGGCAAAAAACGTTCGCTTTGTAACCTACGGATATTTTTTAGAGAGCACTACTTTCGCATTACCATGCTCTGCTTTTTCAACGAGAGCAAGAGAACAGCAGAGAATTGCGCATAAAACAACACAGAGAGACAGAGATGGCGTCGAGCTAAGTAAAACAAAAGTCAATTGAATTTCTCGACCAATAGTGGTTGGCATCATGTTCAGTTCCACTCTAATTATCACTTCTTATGATAAAAGTACACAGAGCGGTTAGAATACACAAAATAGGTGTAAAGTCGATTTGTACTGCAGGATTACACTGATAGAATGTAACTATATCAGCTAACAGTGGGCGGACCGTGTCACTCCACTGGTGTTAAGCTTTATCATGCAACATAAATATCTTTGTCTGCTTACTAAACTTTCATCGCTTTCATCCCTTTCAACTTTTTCTATATTATTCATCCCTTCACACTTTTCATCGCTTTCATACTTTTCAAACTTTTTATACCATTCCATTTTTCATACCTTTCCTCTATCTTTCATGCTTTTCTTCACTTTCATAGTTTTCATCCCTTTTACAGTTTTCTACTTTTTATCGCTTTTTGCGTTTGCTATCCGCAAAAGCCGTGAAAAGTAGAAGAGCTAGCAAAACCGAAAAAGCAACAAATACAAAAAGCGATGAAAAGTAAAATACTGCGAAACGGTTAAAAAGTATGAAAGACATGAAAAGTAACAAAACGCAGATGAACAGTTCGAAGAAAACTGCGAAAAGGAGACTAATTGCGAGAAAAAATGCAGAACAACCGGTACCATCGGTATAAGGAATTTCGTGTGAGTGTGCTGTCCTGTATGTGGAAGAAACGAATGACTATGTTAGAAGAGAAGGTGAACATCAGTCGTATGTTGATCGAGCATTACGAGGAGATGACTGTGGCGATTCCAAATTAGCTAAACACAGTATATCTACGGATGAATGCCACATTAGGTTTGATGAGACTGTCATCTATGATAGAGAACAGAATAAATATAGGCGAAAAAGGCTGGAAACGATATACACATTGGTTAATAACGGATATAATAATAAACAAATAATATGTAGTCAATGGCTTCCAACCATACAAAGATGGATGAAAAAAGGATCCGACGTCTATGCGTGAGAGCCGAAAAACTGGCTGACATCAACAGAACTCATAACTTAAGACCGAGAGAGAAAGGAAAAGTAGTGAAAAAGTAGTGATTCTTATCAATATCCTAATTTACATTTTTAGATGTTGTGAATTTTAGCTTTATATTTCTTATCGTTCAATTGTGTATTCTTAATTATTTATCCACTGAAGGTGTATAAAACACCGAAACGTTTGGTTTGAATGAATAAACTACGAGATAAAGTATACAAAATGACTTCTAATATACAAGAAACTCGTAAAAACGGCTTACAAACACTGGGAGAAATAAAAAATGATTTATTTTTAGACTTAGAACAATTTTTGAAAGTTCTTCTCCTAGATTCGATCTGCCGGACTTTCATAGGCTGCACTTCTCCAAATACGTATTTTCCCATTCCACTAAATTGTGCAAAAGAAAACTACGAGTTATGATGATACATTCGTACGAAGACCGTACACTTGCGTATATATTTAAATAGTCTTTACAAGTGATCACTCACATGATGCTAGCTATATTATGCATGAATGCCGACCAGGATTTGATTAACAATAAAGAAAATTTATTTAAATTGTATTTAAGTTGGTGTTTCGAGAGAAATGTTATACGTCCAGCTATTTTAGAATCGATCGCTAAGAAAAGACATTGATATTTTAGTCTATGAAAAATTAAATAAAGAAATTTTCGAATTAAAAGTTTTATTAAACTATCAAACCAACCAGCTCAATAAACAGTTTCAGTTGTTGTTACATGGAAAAGTTTTTTACGAAATCAAAATAGATGAAATAAAAGATTCTAAAATTGCAGAAGAATTTACCAATAACTCAGGTACTGTTGGCTATTTACAAAAGTCACAAAGTTACTTGGATTTAAAAACAGTTAATTTAAATCAACTTAATGATCATTTAGTTGGTTGTTATTGACAGTTTGAACAGATTAATACTGAAATAACACATTAAAACAGAAATATTTGTTTCACTAAACATGGAACAGAGCAAATGGACGTATTTGTTTTACATCGATTAGTAGGAGAACAAACTTTTCCAATTAGCAAAGAAATTTTATTGTTGTTAAATGATATAAAAAAAATTGAAGAATTCAATCCTTTCATAATGGATCAAAAAGATATATTTTATGAGAAAATCGAATGTTACTTGATTCAAGAGAATCTTATCCAAAAGATTAACCGAGTTATTTCATTGATTTTTTTTCCGTAGGATATCAAAAAAGCAGAAATTCTATTGAATGCACATCGAAAATTCACTTTTGCTTGCCGTCACACAAATTGACTGACGAACACAATCGAAACGAGAATGTCACGAATCCATCGTTGTTAAACCCTGTTAAAACCAGGTTATTAAAACGGGTGGGTGAAAGATGAGCACGAAGAAACTTGAACACGGAAAGATGAGCACGGGAAAGTTGAGCACTAGGAATTATGGGCACTAGGAAAATTGGGCACGAGGAAAGTTGAGCAGGAGGAAACTTGAGCACGAGAAAGTTGAGCACTAGGAAACATGAGCACAAATTTATAGTTTATCCATTAAATTTTTTGTATCATAAACAGTTGAAAAAATTTAAGAGAAAGTTAATTTAATCAATTTTATTTAATATACTGTTGTCGAAAAGTCATCAATATAGGAATTTTAATAATTTGTTGAAAACAAACAGTTGCAAAAATTTAAAATAGAGTTGCTGACCAGTTAATCAATACATTATTAATTGGGATAATTGATGTAAATTCAATATACTATTATATATTCATAACTTTTTTCACAATTCACTTTCACTTTTCATCTTCACTTCTCAACTCACTTTCTCTACAGCAAAAATATGTCTACAGCAATATCTACATCAGTATCATGTACTACTAAACAAAACCTCGTCTTGAACTCCAAGGTTTTTCGTACATAAAAGATCGATTTACTGAAAATAAAACATATTGGCGTTGTATATATTATAATTCTCAAAAATGTCATGCTCGTCTTCATACATGTAATATTACCAATAATGTTATAACTCCACCTTCTGATCATACATGCAAAAGTAATGGTATTACAGGTGAACTTCGAAAGTTTAATGAAGATCTTTGGTATTGTACAATGAATACACAGGAAACACCTTTGACCTAAACACAGGAAACATTTTTCATTTCATTAATAGAATTGTTGTCTTAATAATTAATTTTTCTTTTCAACAGGACCAGATCGAATGTTAATATTTGCCAGTTCTGAACAATTAGATATTTTACAATCATGTGATGATTTTCTTGTTGATGGTACATTTAAAGTATGTATAGAAGTAGATATTTCTTGGGTTTCGGTGGAAATTTCAGTTGAGTGAAGTAAAACTAAATATTCCTATGTTTAGGTTGTTCCTGAGATTTTTTATCAATTATATGTTGTACATGCCATCTATCGTGGACATGCTATACCAGTTGTCTATTCATTACTCAGTCGTAAAAATAGTGATACATATCAACGTCTTATAAATGAAATAGTAGAATTTGCTCCATGCTGGTTCCCTGCTTCTATTTTACTTGATTTCGAAAAGGTATGTATTAATGTATATGACAGTAGTTTCGTTAATATATCATTATCTGGTTGTTATTTCCATTTTCGTCAAAATCTTCATCGACAACTTCAGGTAACATTGAAGTAATTTAGTATAAAAATACGTTCGAATAGAATATGTTCGCTCTTCAATGTATAACTTTTGTTTTTGTGTATCAGACATTAGGTTATCAGAATCGTTATCAAGAAGATGTTAAATTTGCTCACAATATTAATAAAATAGCTGCGTTAGCTTTTATTCCACCTTGTGATGTATTACATGCATATTCACGTCTTGCATTAGATCTTGATGATGATTACCAAGATATTTTAAATTATTTTGAAGATACATATATAGGACGACTTCGCCCTAACGATACACGACGTCAACCAACATTTAGTATTGAATTTTGGAATATGCATTCAAGGACAACACAATTATCGATGCGTACAAATAATTCTGTGGAAGCATGGCATCGTCGTATAGGATGTGTATTTCAATGCGCGCATTCTACGCTTTGATCATTTTTACAAAAATTAATTCATGAAGAACATGCAACGCATGCTGATGTTGTTCATATAAATAGTGGTGAAGCACCAAAACATAAAAGTAAAACAAATGAACGGTTTGAACGACGTCTTTTAAATCTTTTATTGCATCCACATGATGATATTCTTATGCAACTAAATAATATTGCACATAATATTTGCTTATGAAATAAATATTTCTTTCTTTGTTGATCATCTGATAAAAATTTAATATTTCATATAATAGTATATTGAATAAATTGATTAAATTAACTTTCTCTTAAACTTTTTCAACTGTTTATGATACAAAAAATTTAATGGATTTGTGCTCATGTTTCCTCCTGCTCAACTTTCCTCGTGCCCAATTTTCCTAGTGCCCATATTTCCTAGTGTTCAACTTTCCCGTGCTCATCTTTCCGTGCTCCAGTTTCTTCGTGCTCATGTTTCCGGTTCCCATTAAAACAGTGGGTTGACTTTCTCGTTATTCTATCATTTTCTCGGAAAACTTTTTTTTGAAAATCAATTGTTCGCCAAGTTTTACACGATACAGAGTTCTTGTTTTAAGTTTGCTTATGTTATAAAACGTGCTATATCGAATACACGTAATGTCATATCCTGGATCTCTTAATGAATATCTTTTAATTTTATCTCATGATCATCTTGCTCCTCTTTAATGTGAGCTGATGCCTTAATTTTGGCAGTTCTCTCTGGTCCAACTTTCCCATTTTCGATTGGGAATAATTATCAGCTCAGTATGTTTGGTTTGATATGTTGACTAAAAAATTTTTAAATTACGACTAAAACTGTTAACAGAACCATGAACAAACGGAATTTGTATGAATAGTTTCTTTTGCTGAGTGTCTTTAATACCATGCAATGGAATAGGAGGAGGGCAACACCACTTAGAGAGTTTCATCCCAGTTAACGTATCAACGACAGACGTACATGATGAAAGAAAACGCGTAAGAAAAACCGTGATGTCCATAACCGTCGAAAGAAAACCGTGTAGAAGAACCATGAAGTATAAAACTACATTATGAAAACCGTAAAATACAAAAGTATAAAAGAAAAACTATGGAAGTAAAACCGTAAAGGTTAAAACCATAGTAACAAAACCGTCCACTTTCGAACCATCGAAGAAAAATCCTAAAACAAAACCGTCAGTCTAAGAACTGTAAAACTGTCATATAGGAACCATAGAAAACAAAAGCATGAACAAATAAAACCGTGCCAAACTGACTGTGAGAAACCGCGTATAAAAACTGTCATTAGTTTCATGTTTCTTTTTCTCCTTGTAGAATAACCATTGCTCACTGCTATTCGTCTAATATTATCTAGTTCACAATGTAATAAACGATATGACGAGCAAATGTGCTAAGCACGGTGTATCATACCTGTTATAACAGATCGCTACAAGTATTTTTACTACATTCTTATTTTTGTTCTCTATCTGTTTTCTTTCATGACTTTTCTCCACTCTCAGTCGAAAATTTATATATATACTGGTATGTTAGTACAGTTGTACATTTAAAAATTTCAATTGTATATTTCTCGCGAAAATGACTATATGAAGAGACCTAAACGTTGAGTGTACTATTTAATAAAGAATAAATAGTTAATTTGTGTCAATTATGGCTGCTTCTTTAAAATATTACTTATTTCGATTATTGGCTCTAACGTCATCTAATTATAAATTTAGGAAGAATTCTTATACATATTAGTATTAATAAAAACCAACAACATGAAAGAAAATATGCTATTTTCTTTTCGAAAGAATCAACAAAAGAAATTGAGATATTAATAATATCTCAAATATTTTTGTTGTTTCTTTTAATTAAATTATTATTATCGAATTTCATATCATGAATATCCATAGAATCAAAAGATATCACGAACCATCGATAAAATAAAGAAACAGAAATTTAATTCCTCTTTTGATCTAGAAGAACAACAACAAAAATTTTCAACTATTGTGTGTGTATTGTGCTGTATAAAAACAGCGACACTTGAACTATTTTGTTTGAGTCATTTTCTTTTGCTAATTGTTTTAAATGAATCGATATCGGTGGTTCTTTCGGCAAGTGCTTATTTATGTTCAAGTATTGAATTCTTTTTTTATTTTTGCTCAAGAATATGGGTAAGTAGGAAATTGTGATTTACGTTTAATAATGGAAAAAGTTCGTGAAGTGTTAGGCTGATTTTGTAATAGATTATAGACTAGTTTGTAGAGCACGATGATATAAAGCGTCCTCACCCATTCGTTTTACTTGAAAGGATAACTTGATTTTAAATTTTTAAGCATCACCTTGGGACACTTGCGGAGAGCCTTGAATTTCAAGAATGTTATAGTTTCAAGTGGTCGGATTTTTACTATTGACCGTACTATACTTGATTGTACATTCGCTTATGTTTAAGTAAAATCGTGGGACGAAGTGTATCTTTACTTTGTATATTTTACTTTTTTTATTAACTTCGATTCATTACTCATAGAAAGTATGATACGTCTCATTTTGCATGCTTAAGAAGTGATCACGTTATGTAAAATCTTAATACTTATTTTAACTTCTTAAAATCATCGTCACCTTACATACTGTTTAAGACCCATAAAAGTGTACTAGTCGTGCCAGACTTCTACAGTATGTCAGAATCTAACTAAATGTTTCAAATGTGGACAGGCTCATGGACATAATTCAAACTATCCAAGTCCGATTAAAGATGCCAATTGTGAAGGTGTTCACATGTCTGTTTTCCAACAAAAATACTATACCGAAAACACCTGTTGGAAGAACAATAACAGTCACGAGCATATCAACAGTTTGCTGCAACAGCATATGTTAACCACATCAACAACTTCTCCAGCTACGAACTGTTGGCTCTCATTACGAGTGAAAATCTTTTAAAATACTCTCCAAACAATCGCACCAGCAATTCCTACAGTTAATAATAAGAATAACCGAAATCAATATCCTAATGCGTTGTTGCCTTCACCACCGCTGCAATCACAGCAACAACAGTAGTATTCTTCTACAGCAGTTACAATTGCGTCAATGAAAGAGGAATCAACAAATCCCAGAATATTCTCTTACATCTTAAAAATTGCTCAGCTAAAGTGTGAAACATACAATTAACAAGAACAACTGACAGAAAGGAAATTATACGAAAAACTGATATCACAAGTTAAACTTTTGTGTGTTTCAGTCACCTCTCTGTACAAGTGAATCAGTCATATATTATTAAATCCAACACTCAACAACGTACTCAACAGCTGCCTTCAGCACAATTTTTGTTTAAAATAAATGATTTAAAAATAGAAATACGAAACGGAAAACAAACTCTCCAATCGATTGATTAAACAAAAACCACTATCGCATTGTTTATTCATTTTAACAACGTTTAATTAATATGCTTCTTATTTGAACATCTATCCGGCTCATTGGAAACGTGTAAAAATGATACTACTTCCAAAAGAAAAAAACACTATGCTTTCATGCTTGTGTAGGTACGCAAAACATTTCCATTATTTATCTGAAAATGTAGATGCACAGTTGCGGGATCAACAATCATTAATAGTTTTCGTTATCATCAATCCACCATCTCCAGATTTATGCAATTTTCACAAGATTGGACCAGCCTCTGTTAAGAAAACCACAGCACCATCGACTATTTCTTATGATTTTTCAAAAGCCTTTGACCAATTGTGGCCTGGCTTAATTTCTAAATTATACCAATGAATTATCCGAGAGAATTGATATATAGTTCATCCATATGTATTTTCGAGATCAAAAATGCTATATGGAAGTGAATGGTGCGAAATCTGATACATTTGGTATTCAGCAAGGTGTGTCTCATGACTCTTGCCTGGGAAAGAGAATATTTTTTCTTTTGTATCATGCGAATATGTCGTCATCACTCATAGAAAGCAGTCATTCACATTTATAAGCTGATGATCTGACTACAATTATCCACCCATCTTCCTGATGGCTGAAGATTCGCGAAAAAATCTAGGAATAAGCACAAAAAACTATAACTGAATTATTATCGTAACTTACTCTATCAAACGTGAACAGCCGATGAATATTAACAAAACACAAATGTTAACATCCTCAAGTTGTTGGGTTTTTATGTTGATTTGACGCTTTTGTTTCAATCATAATTTTAAGCCAATTCTATACAAAGTCACCAAAATTAGCTCCATGTGAAAATTTGTATCAAGGTCAAAACATCCTCACTGATTGACAGATAGCTGGTTTTTAATGCCTACATATTGCTCCAGATACAACAATTATACGTGATTTCGCCACTTCTCTGCAAAGCAACAACGGACGCAGTTGCGGCCAAAATTGTGTAGTTGTTGCTAGGAAGTCCCGAATATCTCATCATCGAAATTTTTCTCGAGGGCTCGATCCTCGAAAGCTTATATAGAGGTCCGAAGTGTCGTTTTTCGAGAGTTGGAGCCCTCAGCGAGGACCTATCGAACGCATATTTTTGAGCACTCGAAGTACCCCTTGAACAACTGGGTGGACAGTAATGATGAAATCGAATTGCACAACTTCATTCGTTGCGCAGAATATAGAAAAGAACAGTGAGATTGATTTTTGTAGTTCGTCTGTGTTTGTGCGTTCGATCCTAGTTTCATTCAAAGATTGCTTTGTGTTTTCGTAGGTTAAGTTTCAGAATGATACAATGAAAATATATATTCTCGATTTCGTTCTGGTTCAAGATTAAAACTTAAATAAAATCTGTTGGTCTGAGAAGTTCAAAACGGTGAATCATTGGTCACTGATATTTCTAGTACGATTTATGCATAAGGCCATCACCAAGCATCCCGAATTGATTGAAAGTCATGTACAACATGAGAGCTCGGAAAAGTACTTAACCATGCACACTGAGTAACGTTTCATTCAATTCTTTCCGCAAGAACGACCAATATTGCATGTTATGCTTCTAATCTTCAGACATCTGAGAACACATATATGGGTAGATTTCTGCAATAT